GGTCCCAGGTGATGTCGCGCGAGCCGTCGGGGAGCTTGGGGAAGCGGTCGTCGTTGCCGGCCGGGTTCATGCCCACGGCCCAGTGCACGAGGAACTGGTCGACGTAGTCGAGCCCCAGCGCCTTGAGCGACTTGTCCAGCCCGACCTCGACCCGCGTCGAATACGTGTTCCACAGCTTCGTCACCACGAAGATCTCGGACCGTGTCACGTACCCGGCGTCTATGGCCGCCTTGATCCCCTGCCCTACCTCGTCTTCGTTACCGTAGCAGTACGCCGCGTCGATCAGCTTGTAGCCCTCCTTCAGCGCGTACGTCACCGCTGCCGCTACCTCGCCTGGAGCGGATTGCCATGTGCCTTCATCGCGACTGTTAGCCTTGTCTCGTGTTCTTACGGGGTGTGTTCATGCGTGTAACGACATGCAGGGAGTCCTTCGGCGACGAGGGGTTTGCGTGTTTTCAGATGGCAGAGGGGCATCGTGAAAGGAGGGGGAGGGGTCATGGGACCGCGGGGTTGCCATCATTATTTTTTATGTATTGTCCAATTTCCGCGCAAGAGCATGGGGATACACAGGGCAGATGCTATGAACGATGTAATTGGACATGAAGGCACAAAACGACAGCGACATACCTAAGCCAACAGCAGGCATGTGCTGCCCAGTGTTCAGCTTGAAAGTTGACGGCGCCATCCTGAAATGCTGTTTGAGGGGATCAAGAGGAAACAAAGCTTGAAATCTGGGAAGCTCGTCTAAGTCTCTTTCGTTGGTCAAGCCAAGCGAAAGCGAAGCATGAGAAGAATAAGAAGAGAGCAAGTCGAAGAGAATGGGGGGTATCACAATTTACAGTCACAACTGCAGACACTAGGGGATGTCGGGCATTTTAAGCAACGTCACCCATTTTGTCGCGATCCGGTAAAATGAAGCCCGTTCACGGATGGGAGATCCCCCATCATCCCCCCCCTCATCCCACTTTCGCGCCCACGTAGGCTGTGACTAGCGGCGGCAGCACCAGGCACGGTATGGCGATCCCTGGCCCACAAGAAGGTCGAAGAAAGAGCAGACGGGGTAGGGCCGGGCTTCTGCGCGTCACAAGACAGGATGTGCCTGGCCTGGCGTGTCAAGATCCGGGTAAAGAGACTTATTGGTGGGATCTCGGTTTCATCGATTCGGAGATGTCGTGGAGAGATGGACGCTACACTAACGAGCTTGGTGGAGACGCCATGCAACCAACACCCGACTTACTCGGGCAAATTGGGTTGCCTTTGCTGTTTGGGTGCGACTAAAATCGGCGAGAAATGCAGTATCGGGCCGGTAAAACCTGCCCGCTGTATAACACGCTAAACTTGAGCTAAATGGCCCTGATATACATGGCATACAATAAAATATGCAGTATTTCTAGGACGCTTGACCTTTGCGAAGTTTCGATGAACACACTGTTGCGAAACCTCAACCTACTACTCTGTAATACCAGTCACCACCATGGAAGCGGGTGTAAATGGTGATTGTTGCGCACGGCATGCACAAATAGGAGGGGTAGTTGTGTCCTGTCCAGACGGACGTGCGGGGTAGAGGCTAATGCCCCTTTTTCCTTCTCTCGGGAGACTCTAGATTTTAGTTTGGCTGGCTTTGATCTCGTTACCCTATTCCACATCTTGGAGCATCAGCCCGCGACGAAGGCGCGAGGTTTAATCAGGAACGATACTTTGCGGCACGCCAATCTATCGGTCTGTGCCCAATGAATCTACACCTTTTACTTCTCGACCAACCTCCTCGAAACAACTAACGCATCTCCAAAGCCAGCAAATATAACTCTTCCGTCATCTTGGCATAATAACAAAAGTCACAATCGTAAATTCCCAACACTAATCTTAGGTGTTAGGTGCCCACTTCAAAGCTATCTCTGCCATCCGTACAATCAACCAGTCTCGGCGTTCTAGCGTCTCTAGGGACTAAGTCCAAACATCTGGACAGGCTGCGGATCATGTGCGTCGATTCAACCAAGCACGAAGCCAAAGACTGCATAGAAGTCCAGTTGGGAAATTCCCCCAGAGGGGACAGGCGGCAAAGGTATTAGATATTAGATCGACATTAATCCTAGGTTCTGGATTGTGCGAAAAGTTAGGAAGAATGCTAACTTATATCTTTTATCAAGTAGAGCCAGCTTTTGAGCTTGGGCTCTAGCAGGTGTTTACTACATACAGAATTGTAATCCTATGAACAAAAAGCTAAAGATTTTTTTATAATACTAGCCATTTCAACAGCAAAAAAGCGCTGATAATAAGAAATTCTGTGTCTCATATGCTCAACAAAGCTGCAGGTCTGGAGGGTTTGGTGTATTCCAAACGGCTGGAGGATATGAAGAAGAAGCCAGTTCGAGACGTATGAAACCGTCCTTTAGTATGATTAGAAACAGCACCAACATAATATAAAACATGTGGCGTATATCAATGCATACAGGCCCGAGCTAGAAGTGGATGTACTGCGCCCGATATCTTGGCAGTGTGACCTGCCTGGTAACCTGCTTGCTGTGAATTCCAATTGTGTCTACCAGACATTAGATAGCATACAAGCCAACACGGCTGTAAGACCTGGGAGACGACCATTAGTGAAGCTGAGGGTTACCAACCGAGGTAAACGAGGCCATTCAGCTTATTATTCGTCATTAGCACTTCTACGCACACATTGTATTTCTGTAGCTGGGTTGTGGTTGTGTGCCGAGTTGCCGGATGGTTGAAATAAAATAGAATTCAACTCGTCCGACGTTATCACACGCAAAACGAGGTGGCATGGACGTGGGGACAAGAATAATATCGAATGAAGGCCCGGCCATGCATGGTATTATGACAAAATCTAATGTGTAGCCCGCCCCTACACCTTGCCTGCCACCGGTGAGGCATGTAATGCGCCAACATAAAAATACAATATAACGGCATGTTTCTTCGTATCCCGCTTTCTCTAGCCGGCAATGAGAACCCAAAGACTATCGAAAAGATTAGTGAGACTTTACAAGATGGGATGGGCCCTGTGGGACAAGAGAGAGAGAGGGGGGGGGGGCGTAGTGCTTACAGGAAAAATATCATGAGTACACCAAACATCTTTGCTATTAACCATCGATTGCTGGATACTCTCGACCAGTATTTCAGTAATTCCCGTTGCGCGCCTTGCACGTTGTCCACCACATCTTCTGTGTTGGCGTCTATCCGCTCGATCATCTCGCTTTGCTCCGATACCATCTGCGCTAGCTGGCCAAATATCGAGCCAAGTTCGCTAATGGTCTTCTCGATGGCCTCGATGGCCTCTCCTCGCTGTTGTATATACGTGTTTTGTGGTTGCGCCTCCTCCATCATCAGCACCTGCTGATCGCCAACGGGGTTGAGGGAGAGGAGATCGGCACCTGGCGACGGTGTGCCGCGGGCGGGTGTCCCGTACAAGGGAGAGGCCGACTGTTGCAGCGATGGCTGGGCGTGCTGCGAGACGGAGGAGATGAAGTTTTCTGTTCGCGATCGCGACGCCTGGATATTCTTGGTCCTGACCTCCAGCACGTCTTTGAAGTTGGCGCCGACATCGCTGAGCTTGCCTTGCAGCATGAGCACCACGTTCTTATTGTGTTCGCCCTCCTGGTCGGCCTTGGGGTGCTGTTGCCGGGTAAGGGTTTGGAGGGCGGAGATCTGCTGGTTGAGGGAGGAGAGGTCTTGTTTGATGATGAAGGTGAGTTCGTTGATCTCGACGGGCCGGTCGTCGAAGAGGGTCTTCCGCTTTGCCAGCTGGGCGAGCTTTTCCAACTTGCCCATCGTGGCGCCGATGCCCCTACCGATCTCTGCCGCCCGTCTCGCGAACTCAGACCTCCGAGGGCGCGAGTGGCCATCTGCAGCTGCCTTTTGGGACTCGGTAAGCAGCGAGCGTCTCTGTGCGCCAACCTTGGAGGATGCCTGTCTTTTCTGGACCTGGGTAAGGACGGACTTGAACTCGGCGGTCCGGTCTTGTATCGATGCGACCGCCATGACGGGCCAGATGGGGCGAGAGCGGCAAAGTGACGAAGCGCCCCAGAGGTGGATGAGGACGGCTGATAAGGGGCGGGTGGTGGACGGAGGGGAAGAGGGTGGTGTCTCTATTCGGTCCGGAGGAGAAATGAATGGCGAGACGTGCGACGTGAGGCGTGAGGCGATAGCGAGGGTATGGGCGTGGGTGTGGGTGTGGGTGTGGGTGTGGTTGTGATAGCGAAGCGAAGGTTGTTGAGCGACGAAGCACCGCTCGATGCGTCGATATGGATGGGTAATTAATTAATTTCAGGAGACCGGAGAACTGGAGACTGGCGTGGGGACACGGAGATCCTTCGTGGATGTACACTGAGGTACTGCCTGCCTCCAGGCTGGACGTCGCGGAGGGAGGAGTGTCTAGCTCGATTGTTTAATCGGTCGTATGGCCGTAGTGTTTTTTCCTTTTTTCTTTCCCTTCCTTTTCCCCTTTGACTCCGACGGCGAGGTACATTCAGATATGCAGGTGGTGAGGAAGATGGGTGGTAGAAACCTACATCAGTGTAGAGTAGTGCAGACGTGTACATGTAATTGCAGCATGTGGATTGGCGCTGAGGCCAGCCTGTTTAGTTTCAAATGTGATGCCAAGGCTGCGGAATCCTAGTGTTATCGGTATGGACTCCACTATGGGTACCTGCCTACCATTGCACCTGGCTACATCCATGGTACCAACATTGACTTACCTTACCTAAGTTGGTTAGGTACCTACTTACCTACATACCTACTACTAAGAACAGCCAACTCCATGATGCGGCATTGTGGCTGTGCTTCCACCGTGACCACGTGTGATTTTATGTACTAAGTTATGAAGAGGGACATGGTCCTGAGGCTCAAAACAGTCACTCTATTTATTACCAGTAGGCAGTTAGGTAGGCAAGTGGTAGGCAGTCCAAGCTGTCCCACATAACACCAGGTTGTTTAGGTATGTTTATTTGATCTTGACCAAAAAATAAATGTGAATGCAAAAATACCGACACCAAAGAGATTCGAACTCTTGCTCCCGAGGGAACAGCCTTTCATTCGAGGGCTGCGCGATAACCACTCCGCCATAGTGCCTTGTACTGTTTGCATTACACTGTATTAACTGTGCTTCCTTGCGTAGGTACTTTTCGTCTCTAAAGTATAAGTACTCGACTTTTTTGTTTTGCCTTCCTCGCCGGAAACAACGCTGACCTGCTTGTATAATTAGATGTCAACGAAAAACTTCGAGCTACAACCGGTAATTTTCCCCGACCTAAAAACCAAATACAAAACGTTGCTAGATAATATTGCTACAAATTAAATCTCTAGAGCAAACAAGCAACGATATTACACGTTGCTTTTGACCTATAGTAAACAAAATTCTTTCTAGACAGAAGTTATTAACTTTATTAAGCCCTATTTTTTGTTTTTGCAAGGTAGCCTTATTACCCGCAAGGTTCTTGACCGACTCAGATCGAAACAAAATAACCTACGTTCAACCGGAATAGCCTTTTCGGACTACGTCACTGATGATCGCTGCGAATATGACCTGCGACATTATGTTAGCCAGACTGGGCAGTCTAAGGAGGACCATGTACGGCCATGTTCAGAACCTCGTCCAAGGTAGAAACAACACCATCCGTTATTTCATCATGTAGCTTGGTAACGACCATCGGTCCGCCAACATCGATTCAGCCATCGTTCACATTCTCCAAGTTCTTTTTGTCCGCTCATTTCAGTCAGGCCTATGGTATCTCACTCGCTAAGATCCTCTAGACATCGAAAACCCTACCACTGGTATCGACAACCTTCAACCGCGCTACAGTAGTTCCTCAAGACTTATATATTACTAATTCCATCAGTCGACAACGTGCAAGCAAAATTAAACACTCGGTACGAAGGCGTCTGCTGACTCATTTATTGCGGCGTTGCGTGTGAGGCCTAATGTGACTGTTTAGAGAGTTAAACTTAGTACCTTAGTAGCAGAGCAGGTATATACATGTATAGAGAGCCTAGGTACACCTGACCGAAGCATCATTCACTTACTCCCACCAAGGTACGGTGGCTATTTAGTTATTCCTCGCCCACCTCCTCAGCGCAGACTTGGCCTTAAAAAAATACTCGGCTTTCCATGTGAACCGAGATCAATACATTTCACATCATAAATTCGATTCGACTGCAATCTCCAGCGCTAACTTCTAATCGTGTCGCCAGAGGGGATGCGCTCTGCCAAGGGAAAGGCATGCCTGACAGCCGTTGTGCATAGGCAGTTGCTTGACAGGTACAGTAAACGTTGCTATTTCCAGGTTCTCTACAGGATTATGGATTTAAGACAGGAGAGGTCTGAAGGTATAAGGTACACATGCACACCCCTGTCCTATCTCACTGTGTGTGTGTGCCTCCGTTTCCCGCGTCCTTAGCGCATCGTCGTCCGATGTGCATATTTCACCCTCCGCTAGAAGGTCCCTCGACAACGCGTTCGCTAGCTTGTGATGAAACGACTCGAAATCGACAGGTTATTGCGACGAGTGTATATTCTCGTTGGTCGAAAACATGTCATACTCGTGCTGAAGCTGGTTGAAGCGAGGGACCTCTAAAAGAAAAGGTGGTGCGTTAGCCTAAGCTAACATCTTGTGGTGCATCGTCTGTAACAAGGTCATTTGACGTCCGGGGACGTGAATCATTGGAGCGCTCGGAATTCACCCTCATCGCGCACACTCATACGCAAATGTTTGTCGACCATCTCACCTTTAGTGCATCTTGGGTCTTACAATACCAGTGGAAGATCAATGATGAGTGAATAGGGGTTGACGCCGCCAGAGCAGAGATGTATCGTTCAGCACGACTGCATCTCCTTGGCCTGGAATATCTGAGATCTTAGCGAGATTGGGAAGCATTCATTCAGAGAGACTGGGAGGGTTGACGTCTGGTACCAGTATGTCAGACGAGTAAGAGACAGGAGGAAGGACTGCGACGGGAAAAGAACAGCGAAGGTTATGAAGAGAACTGCAAGTGCTAGACTTAATCTGACAGGGGATTTATTAACACAGGCAGAGGGAAAATGCTAGTCAGATTTCATGAGGCAGTGGAGAAAACAGCGGCAGAGGAGAGTCGAAGAAGAATGGGATGGAGAGGAGAGAAGTGAAGAGGCCCGAGGCGAAGACAGATAACGGGAGATAAACATGCACAGTCGGTGCTAGTCAAGCGCATTCAAAATCTAGAGGCATCTACACTGAACGAGGAAAGCTGGCTAGAGCAGCACTGGATCAAGCCTTCCATGATATGTTTGGGGGGCAGGAGACACCCGCAAGTCCATAGAAACCTGTGCGGCGTATTCCAGCCTCAGTGAATGTTACTACGCAAAGACCGGAATCGCGCTTCGTATGCTTCTAGGTCCTTTCGAAAACTTATTAATAGGGCATGGGTTAGATGCCTAGACGCAGCTATGTTACGGCTTCGAGGCTACTTGCTTGTCGATGCTTTCTTGAGATAGAGGCTTAAGTTTTGAAGCAGCTATTTATTCGTACATTGATTGTCTGGTACACAGAATTCTGTTTTCCAAAGTTCTAACAAAGATAATAGTTTTTCGTGTACATTCCATATTAACACCTACCCACCTACGTAAAGCCGAACCCTCAGCAGGGTGGTGCTTGCTACCTACCATATATAATGGCACTAACGGGACGGATACTACCTACTATTAGGCTGAGCCGCATATGCCCAAGGAGCTGGCATCGAGGTCACAGGCGAATCGCTAATTTTCTCATCAATGGCGGTGCTCTGTTTTGCGGATGGCAACCATATTTCTCCATAGTGGCAAATAGGATCCTAACCCCAGGCCGCCTCATTTAAGAACGCAGAATCACGCAGTGAATTAAGCTTCTAAGTTGACTCCTACTAGCATTTATTACATTGGGGATAGACTAGATACTCAATAAGGTGGCGTGGTTCTGTTGTAGAATTGCTGATGTGTTGATTAGGATAGTTGGCTAATCTCGTGGAAATAATAGTAGCGCCGGACCTATAATATGCTATAATTATGATTTGAATCTATATCTTATCTACTCTACTTTGAGGCAAGAGCCAAAAAGCTACGGCAATGACCTGAATCTATGATTTCCCCCCAGCTCTCGTAGGGTATGGGTCACAAGAAGACATCCATTCTATGGGCAGTCTTTGCCACCTCAGGCGCCAACAACCTTGCTAGATTAATACCAACAACCTATGGTTGAACCCCCGTCTCTTGGGCAGCTGGAGGAGGATACTTTGATGTTACAAAGTTGCTTATCAACGTTGGAAATGCCAATAATGCATTAACCCAGTATGCGGTAGCCGAACCCTCTTCGTTAGGTTAATGCGTATCTCATTTGCGGATCGTCGCGGTCGGACACCATTCTCTATCTAGACATGGTCACCTGCCAGTCTTGAAGCTACATCTCAGCGCGGATGAAGTATGTGCAATCAAAGACAAAAATGCACAAGCCTAATCGATTGAGATGATATACGACTACCAAGTTATTTTCCTAGAATACGATCTTGCATGCGTTTCGTTCCACTCCGAAGCCAAGCCAAAGGTTTGGGAGAACCTAAACTTCACCGTAGATGCGCTTTCTTTTTTTCGTTTCGCTCTCTTTCTTTTCGTGCCTTTTCATCATTTTCTCCCCCTTCTTCCTCTCTATCCCAGGGGATCTGGTCCCTCAGAGCTCTATCGAACTGATAGCATAAGTCTGCAGACAGGAGCAGAAACTTGGGGTTGTGCGAGGGGCCAATTTTTCCCATAATTTTTTTAGACACGAAGTCCTCGAGGGATAGACGCAGCGCAACTTCGCCAGATGCTTGTCCGTTCTTATCTCGGAATATCTGGTTCTTATTAGGGTAATTTATGGAAGATCCAAGGGCAATGACATCACTTTCGGAGCATTAGGGACTGCGATCACATTACTAGTGCTACTCTTAATATTAGTACGCCACACGAATATCTTCCTGAGGGCCTTTTTTTTTGCTGTAGCATCCGCCATTTTTGCTTTATCCTCTTTGGTAGCCTTGTGTTCTTTGTTGTCGCTTGGACCATCTGGCTGGGTTTTTCTTTTGGGGTAGCATTTATATAGATCAGACAAGTTAACCCCTATAACAGTTCGGATCTCCCCACGGTTATTTTCTATATACCACTTACATTTTTTATGTAGGTTAGAACTCTTCTGGGACCAGCCCACCTTTACCACGAGCCCTGGAAATTTTGATCGTGGGTAATCGTATTTATAAGATAAATCTGGATCTTTCTTGTTGCTCTTTGCTTCGGCCGAGCTCTTGACAGTTTACGACCCTGTCCGTTCAGTCCTTGGGCTATCTCCTTTGTGTGGGGATCTTTGCAATACCTCCTACGGCACTCTTCTACTCCGCACTCTGCCTTCCCTGTTCGAATTAATCCCCGTTGCTCCATTATAGCTGTATTTATCCCTTCTGACAAGTATTCGTGAAACTTGGTAGGCATACGAACGGCGAGCTGTTTCTTTTGTTTGTTGTGCTCATCCCTGTTGTCTGCCGTGTAATTATATCTGATTTATGTCATTAGTGATCCCATCCCTATACAGTTCGCGAATAGTGTTTTGTTTACCGAAGTTTATGGTTGTAGATTGTCAATAATTCTGTGTTATCTTTTATCTTATCAAGTAGTTGTTTATACTTGTTGAGATACAGCGTTCTCCTGGATAGTTCCTGACCAATTAAGCGATGACCTCTATTGTAAGCCCTGATCAAGTTTTTTGCGTTTTCTACTCGGGAGCTTGTTTTTTTTTTTTTGTTTCTTATTGCGTATGTTGCTACTGCTCTCTCGGGCACTAGCTGCCCGGTCGTTAACGAGAGATGCCAGGCTGTTGTTTCTTTGAGAAGACTTGTGTATGTGTTGTCTCCGAGACTGATCAAGTGTGGTAGGAGTGCTAAGTATTCCTAATGCGTTGTTCTTGTCCAACTCTGGAGGAATGGCTTCGGGGCGACTAATACGATATGAATAAACGACAGACAGAGTTGGAGAGTCCTCTTCTGCCTCTATTGAGCTGTTTCTTGATGCGTCGCTACCGCCCGAAGGAGAGATACTT